TTACACACGTTAATTTTGACGTACCTGTAATACGCTGCAGCACTTTAGACATAGGGCGAGTAACCCTAACACTTTTAAATTTAAAATTTAGAGAAAAATTTTAAAGGATTTTAAAATTAGAACTAAAGATTTTATAGTGCTACTACAGGTACGTCAAAATTAACGCGTGTAAAATAATCTACAAACCAGACAGATATCAACGAAGTAGATGTTGATAATAACAAGGAAAGTGTTTTAAATGTTAAATTTTGGGCTGGGTGCAGTGTGACAGCAACGTGAGTGTTATACGCCTGATGATGGCCGTCTGAGGCCGAAACATGTAGTGTAGAGGAACAAGATCAAGGACACATAATATATTGTTTGCACTTGGGACGGAATTTGTATCATTATATCATTTATCGATGTTGACTAATTGTGTTACAAAGGGAAAGAAATGGTTTGACCTGTAATTTGATTGATTCTCGTTTTTAAAAAAATTCCCATGGGTAGGGCCACTCGTCACTTGTCGGCGTAACAAGGCATTATTTTTTATGCAATCATTATCCTAATTTTGCCTTAAGTTGCGGTGCTGGTATCGTGAAAACTTCCTAATGGAGACAACATATCTCAAGTTGTTCAATTTATTTGACTAGATTTTATCAACTGAAGATGATAAAAGTAAAAAGTAAAGCTATTCCTGTACCAGGCCGTGGAGGCCCATAGGGTTGTGAGATGTTGAGAGTCCCACATTATCTAGACAATCGGCTCAAAGATGGCGGTAAGGTTGTCAGCCTCACGCGCCGGCCGCGCTTTACTCCCCAGGAAAATTCGTGGTACTTATTTCTGTTAGAGACTGAGTAAACCCCAGGGCCTAGTGCGGCTGGAAGGATTAGGTCAACCGAAAAAAATCCAATGACCTCATCAGGACTTGAACCCGCGACCTGCCGGCTTGTAGCGTAGCCCCTCAACCACTACGCTACCACTGAAGATGATATTTCCTGATACTCTTCAAGAATCAGGCTCTGTTTATCTCAGCACGAGACGTCCTGGTGTTGGAGGTGATACGTCCAGTAGGGGCACTGTACCCCTGGCTAGTGCTAAGGTTTCTCTCATAGAAGGGTTCCAACACGAACTGACTGTTGCATAATATACTGCTTTATTCAACATGTTTATTGTAGTTGGATTGAAACGCTCAATTTAAACACTGAAAATACTTTATCAAGGCGAAAGCTGTGAATTATTACGTCAGTTTACGGAAATGTTAATGGTAAACCTACATTTTACGTTTTTGGTTCTGACGTCCTCATGGCAGTAAATATGAAGGAGGCCATCTTCTGGGTTGTAACGCTGTGTAGTTCAAAGACAGCCCGAAGTTTCGGAGGACCATTCCTTCTCCAAATTCGGGGTGGAAAAGTAAGTCAAACAAGAAAGTAACAGAAGCAGGCGGCAAGCTTTCTCCCAACTACACGGTGTTACAAACGCACCTTTCTGCACTTGACACCTGTCGGTGAGAGTGGGAGATGGCGTAGCCAGTGGTACCTGAATATTGTTCATTATCCCTTTAAAGAATGAACTAACTCGTAGAAGAAGAAGAAGTGGGGGTGAAAGTGAGAGACACTANTGGGGGGGGGGAGAAGAAACTATGTCTCACATTTTGAAGGTTCCCAGGCAGTACCCGCTTGTCCTTCTGGTATAGGTAGAGCATATAATCGGATTTTTTATATATATTATATATTTTTATGACGCTGGAAGAGGTGCATTATAGTAACATTTTTCGCTGACGTTGGGAAGGCTATATTAGGGCGAAATTTTGATGTTACCAATGGGAAGGCTGCATGTGAGGCATGCAGTGCAACGTGGAGTTTGAGTACCAACTCAGCATTTACTGAACCTCTTCTAAATAATATACAAGAATCCAGTCCGTACCTCACAGGAAACACATTACGTCTCCGCTACAGAGCCCAACCGATTAATGCTGTTTAGGGAAACAGCCGCTGTTTAAGGCGAGAACCATACGGAACACATAAATACATTGTGTGGGCAGAATGCAGAGTTTTAGCAAGTTAAAGCAGGCGGTAAATATAGCAACCACTGGGCTTAAAGAGGGGCACGCGGTAGCGCAGTTGGTTGAGGCACTATGCTACAAGCTGGAAGATCGCAGGTTCAAATCCCGCTGAGATAATTGCTTTTTTTTTCAGCTGACCTTATCCTGCCAGCCGCACCACGGCCCTGGGGTTGACTCAGCCTCTAACAGAAATGAGTACCAGGAATTAATTAAATAATTTTCCTGGGGAGTAAAGCGCGGCCGACGCGTAAGGCGTAACCTTACCGCCATCTTTGAGCCGATTATCTAGATAATGTGGGACCCTCAACGTCTCACAACCCTATGGGCCTTCACCACCTGTTACAGGGATAGTTTTACTTTTTTTACTGGGCTTTAAGGAACTAGACAGATATAGCGTCCAAACATGGTCCCTAACAAAGTGAAACCGAAGAGAAATCCAAACGATGGATATGAAATGTTTTAGAAACATTCAGTTTATAACTACAAGGGACAGAACTATAAGTGAAACGTTTTGAGAAGAAACTGGAGTCAGAATTCTTAGTAGGAAGAGTAAGGTCTGGTGGACAGATTGGATGAAACATGGATACTCTAAGGCACAATACTATTAAAATTTCAAAGGAAGAAAATTGTTGGGCGACCGAGAGCAAGCTGTTCTAGCCAGGTACCGGAAGGAAACAAAAGAGAGGAAAGACCTGGTAAGAAATCGAAAAGAAGAAACTGGAAACATTTTGTCCGTCGATCCATATAGGATGGAAACGATAAAAGAGTAATTTGTTTTCACCTGTTCACCTTCCACCATGCAAAAATATAAAGATTTCAGATTCAATCCTTCTAAAATTCGTCACTGCTCTACAAGTTTCGGCCTATTCGGCCAGCATCAAACATGTTAGGATTCGAAAAACTGGCTTCATTTAGAAACACTGTAAATACTAGAACACGGTCCGCAGTAGCACGGAAGGCACAGCTTTTCCCCCGAATTCCAGCGCACCTGATGATGGCCGATTGTGCCTTAACATACAGCGCATTGACGAATTTTAAAAGTATTCAATTTTAAATCCTTGTGTTGTTGCACAGTGGACGACGAACAAAAATCAAAATAAATTCTAATTGTGACTGCAACAGGATGCTAACTGCAATATTGTGATAGCAGACGGCGAAGAGTTTAACGTGGGCTGCGAGGTTTGTCGTCGAGGCCAAGCATCAGAAATGAATTTACAGGTGAATTCAAGAATAAGGCCCAACAGATTAACCGTTCTTTGCGGCACTGCACGCCTGCCCGAACCGTGTTGCAACTGAGAGCTGCGCAAAAAGTTCTATTCTTGACAGCACGGAAACTCCACTGCACCGAGCTAATTAACTCACATTGTGCCAATTAATAACCAGTCCCTCTTTCGGCGCAACTGCGTCCATTCTCTTTAGACGTCGCTTTTGTTTTCAATTCAAATAGTAATTTAAATGATGGTGCTATTTTAGACAACAATTTGAACCGCGCCAAGAGTAACCAAAATGGTACCTCTTGTTCGGACACATGTGCATAATAAGCCATAAAACAGGCGTTCTTTGTTGCAGGGCTAATTGTTATAGGATCCTAATGGTTGGTTGGTCCACTATGCGGTAATCAGGACGTTTATAAAAGCCAAATGAACTAGATCTTCGTTAACGCGGCTTTATGTACACGTATGACGAATTGTGCATTGTTCTAAATGAATTATCTTTTACAACCTTTAATACAATGCGCCTCTTGCTTGCTTTTTAAAGTTCATGCGAACGGTAATTTGTATACCATAATCCTAATTTGTAACATTAGTAATCCGTTAATGCTCTTTTTGAAAATAAAGATCTTTGAATAAGCTGGTATGTTCGTGCAATATCGGCATGTTCCTTTCATGAAGATGACGAGTGTAACATAGCCCGAAACACTGGAACAGCTTCAACACAGAACGTGGGCCGTCGTCGCCCCTGCCCGAACAGCAGGCCGTAAAGACGCACAAAGCTGCATGAAGGTTAACCATAGAGCTGGACGGAGGAGCCCGGGCACTTCTTCCCCCGGGACAGGGGGTGCCGAGTGGGGCCCCAGAGCCGATCTCCATGCGGTGAAGAGAAAAATGTCTGCCCTGGCGAGGGCCAGGACCTTCACAAGACGGTCTTCTGAAATGACTTCTGTGGCTGGGGTCAGCAACAAGCGCCCGGGGATACAGTGTCGGCTTGTGGCCTGTTTCGGACGGTACGCCTAACTCACGCTGACTTCAGGGGGCAATACCTACACGCCTATTATTATTAAAGCTATAGTCCCACAGGAATACGTGCTTTGGTGACAAGAGAGCCTTAAAATTTTTACATATTTTACCAAAAACTATTTTTGTTTTAATTGTTAGATTTCTATGTTTTTAGCCTGGAGTGCCCGTCTCTTATGCTGTTAATAGCGGTATTGTTTATGTGAGATTTGGACTTTTCACGGCCATGAATAAAGAATACGTTCTGTGATATGGCGCCATATAACCTGGTATATCATTAGGAACGTTTCGGAGGAACCTGATACCTTCATGTTTAGGATATTAGAGTAATCAGATTTGTCTGCTAGAATTCACGGCGTCAGTAGTGATATTCTGGTAGGCCTGACAGCAACAATATTAATGTCATTGTTGCGCGAAACGTTAGCTTCGTGTCTCTCCTTTCAGAGTTCTGTGAAATCGACATTTAATGACAGTTCACTCGTATTACACACTTTAAATGCCACAACACTCTCCACGGAAATTAAATATGAAATTTGTCGTTACGTAAAACTGCGAGAGCACGCGAGTGGCTTCAGTGCACAGCCCGATATCCTGAACAAATTCCTGAACCAGTTACTCTGAACAATTTGGAACAGGTCCCCAAAACAGCAGCAGGCAGACTGTGAAGCGGTGACTCTGAAACTCTGTGTTCTGATGTTGGAGAAATGAATTGACACACTTACCCTTTTGCGAGAATATTAGTTCCCTTCTCTGCTTCCAAACTGTGTCTGTGTGTATGTCACACAGACAGGCTAAGCGGGACAGCACAGTTGCTGAAGAGTGGAGCCGCCGAGCGTTAATCCAAACCAATTTAAATAAACGAATAAACGGGAAAAGTGAACTGAAGCCCGTACGAAACACTGTTTCAGATAAAATAAATTACCACTGACGCGATGCTTCGCGGAAGTAACACTTGATAAACGATTTCGCGCACAGAACCGAAAGTTCGGAAACGTGTCTCACACTCCGAAACCCTTTTGTTGTTCCCCTGACGTTTCGAAGAATTCACCGCCGTCTCCGTTAGTGGCGTCGCTGTGCAGTGAACAATGCATAGGCCTTTCTCTAAGTTGTCCTTGAGGGCTAGGATTACAGTTGTGTGACGCCTCGCTTTCACTAGTTGCCGCCACAAGAAACGTTTGACCCGGAAGAAGGGCAGATGAGATGGATGCTTCGGTCCACTAACCACGCATTCTCCTGTTGACTGCTGGTCCCAGCGGAGGGAAGTGTCCCAAGACCGCACACATGTAAATATTTATGCCTGGGGCCCACGACGTTGTGTCTGGTGGTGGCTGTCGTGTTTTGAACCCGCGGTTTAGAGCAGCTGTCTGAATGACCGCTTCACTCAGCCGTGTACTTTACACTCAGCCGTGTGACGTTGGTGGTTGCTTACTTGGTTGGTTGGTTTGCTTGCTGCTCGTGTCAGCAGGGCTTCAAGTTATATCCCTCGCGTCGTGGAGAGAACGGAACTCCCAGCAGGGCGGGGATATGGTCAACCTGCCCTTGGTCGATGAAGGGCTGGTGGTGGGGGCCGCAGCATAACATGGGGTGCTCTTGCTACCTCTCTCGATGGAGGGGGCATCAATGTCTCCCCACCCCAGTAGTTCGTGACAGAAACTGAAAAAGTGGGAGGGGCATCGGTGGAGGAATTGGAGTTGACTGAGTCTGGTAAGCGAGAAGCATGAACCGGCAGTCGTTTGGTGGAGCTGTTGGTGAGTGGATGACACGTTAGCACACTTTGTGACGAAGGCCGATGTGTTGTGTGACGGCAGGACCGGGGGTGGTGCTGTTTGTTCTCCTTTCCCGTCCCAATAATAATAAAAACAGTGTCCAGTTGTCCTGCGCTTAATTAACAGTGTAGGAACATGTGTGGGGGGTGGAGGTACATCTCCACACATTCTTAAATACAGATGAGTGGTCAGCCTGACGAGCCGAACGCGTTACCCGGCAAGTCTACGCGTTGGCTACCAGGCCGGGTGCGAATCTGGACACCGGGCAGAAGTCTCTACCCATGCCGTGAAACGAATCGCGATTCCTCAGACACGAAGCCTGCAGCTTTAGTCACTGCACTGAAAGAGCTGGCTCGGATACTTAACAAGAACAGCAGCAGCAATAGTAACGTCACGTGATTGAGTGACTATAGACGGGGTATGGATTGGTAATCAGATATATTGAACTCTTCAAGGCACAACTCGTGACCACACTTCAAAAATCTCTCACAAAAAGACGAGTGTCCTCAGTCATGGTCTTCACTGCGCTGCTTGGTAGCGGCTTCCAACAGTGGACGTTCCTCTGCTCCCGGGTTCAGCTCCTCGCAGGCTGGCGGCCACTTCACACCAGCCCCCCTCCCCTCTGCTCTTCTATCTGCAGTTTCAGGACTATCTCGTAATGACAGTTGGTCCTTGTTTATAGCCTCGGCACGGACTGCACAGAAAACACTGCTTCCAACAGTTACTCCATTGCTGTGTGTTTCGCAGCAATGACCTAATCATGGCTGTTTCTCTGCCTCCACAGTTCTTGCTTTGAGCGTATATGCCACAATATAACAAGCGTATAGACCTGCATTCTGGTAGGGCTCTCACCTCCAATAGGCCAGCCAGGGCGCAGCTGAACCGTTTCCAGCCACCTCTCATCCTTGCAACCTGTAACAAGTACCGAAAATTCATCTTCGCCACCCCGGCGCTTCAAGCATTCCGCTTGGCTTCTGTTAGCGTCATGCCTCCCCGGTCTGAGGGAGCCTCACACACTGTGACGTCCTGCAGTGCTCGCCTCAGTGAGGCTCCGCGCTCCTGGCATCACAGCCTGGCTATGATTTGTGGTCAGGCTGTTTGTCGCGTTTAATGCCTGCCCTTTCTGTTGTAAAACACAGGTACCTATATCTATCCCTGTAACACTCCATGGAGGCCAAGAGGGTTGTGAGACGTCGAGGCTCCCACATTGCGGTGAGATCAGCCTTACGCGCTGGCCGCCCTTTACCCTTCAGGAAGATCCCTGGTACTCATTTCTGTTAGAGTCTGAGTTGACCCCAGGGCCATAGTGCGGCTGGAAATCGAAAATCGAAAAATGCAATGACCTCATTGGGACTCGAACCCGCGACCTTCCGGCTTGTAGGATAGTACCTCAACCAACTAAGCTATAGAGTGCCCCCTGTAAGGAAGAGTTTCTTAGGCTGTCTGTTAGACCTTAGGTGCTCGGAGCGGTAACTATGCAGAGGATGACCTGTGTAGGGCCAGACGTTTCGGAGGAACTCGGTACTAGATGAAAGTGAGCGGTCAGCATCCCGCCTCGACCGCTTTATCTCCGGGGAAATCGCTCCCGAGACTCACTGGGTAGAGGGCCCCAGAATCTGGCTCATATTCCACACATTTGGGGTATGTGTCCCTCTGTTATGTTAGTCTGGTGATGCGGGTTGCGTCAGATGCTGTGGGGTTGACCACATCGCTGTCTGGTGTCTAGGTTAAGGTACGCTTATTCCCTTGGTCCATATTGACGCACAGAACTACACAATTTACAACTGATACAAATCAACTGAAACCGAGGAATAGATTACTCTTAACAAGCTAACGGCCGTGCAGCTAGTCAAGAAATTTTTCGCTTCTTGTGGAACCCGAAGGTTCATTACCGTGACAAGGCACCCGCCATTGGAACTTAAGGCCTGCCCGGAACTACTTTAATCAACACCACACCCTCACACTTTATTTCTTTAGGACAATCCTACATTTTAATATTATCCTCCCATGTAGGTCTGTTGCTTAGAAGGATATCCGACATAAGTTGTGTGTACGTTTCGAATTTGTCCCTTTTCTTAAACTTTTATTCTCACGGTGTTGTGCGGTTATGTCGCCCTGTACTTCTCCCAAGTGGACCCAGTGTGATCTGGTGAGTGTGAAGCAATGGTGGAATTATGGTTCGTAGGAGAAAGAGGAAGATGTGAAGAAAAACCTACCCCAATGCCGCTTTGTCCACCACAAATTTCACACGGACTGCCCTGGTATTGAAACCGGGTCTCAGCGAAGAAAAAGACTGCCTGAACTACAGCACGGCCGCATCTCTTATACGTGCTACATATTCTGCCCATCATATCCGCTTTCATCCCATATGTCCCTAATATTCCATGAGGGGTACAAATTGTGCAAATTTCTTCCAAGCCCTGTTGCGGCGTGTCGCTTGAAAGGAAAACATTGAACTGGAGACTGTCATGGTGTTTCTGAACACTGCCCATCGTCCTGCAAAATACACAACGTTTCGGAGACTGGATTGTGTCTCAGTCTTCAGGTGGAACTTGCTCAGTTGCGCCCAGTCGATAGAGCTAGTCCCTACCTCTGGACCTAAATAAATAAAAGCAGGACAAGGGACGGTGCCTAGAAACACAAGAATTGTACTGCTGTGCACTCGCTACAAACTTTAGGTCTTATTAAACTGGATATTGCAGAGAGAGGGTTTGAAGGCCGGACTGGATTGAGCTAGCTCAGAATAGGGACCAGTTTGAAGGTTTTTGCGAACACAAGGATGGACATTATTACTACTTACCCTTACCCTTACCCAGAAGGAGGAGACCACTGGGAAGACCAAGGCGTAGGTGGGTGGACAATATTAAAATGGATCTCAGAGAGGTAGGATGGGATGGTATGGATTTGATTGATCTGGCTAAGGAAAGGGACAGCTGGAGGGCCTTTGTGAACACGGTAATGAACCTTCGGGTTCCATAAAATACTGGGAAGTTCTTGAGTAGCTGGACAATTGGCAGCTTCTGAAGAAGGGTTCAGCTCCATGAGTGAGTGACCCTTTTCTCTGCATTCCACTACGAACCTTGGTGTTGTTTACCCATTTTTTCTGAGTTAATTACATTCTGCAGCCATCTGTTCGCTTTCGACTCTCGTAAATCATTGTCTGTATCTTCCATCCATCTCAGTCTGGGACCTGTCTCTTTTCTACTGCCTTCTGTCTTACTTGCAAACTTCTCTTACCCACCCTTGTTTGATCCCTTCTGATCACGTGACCTATGCATGACCTGTACCAGATCGGAGATGGACATTCGGATTATTAAGAAATTCTTTTCTCTATATGAACACCAAATTCCTCTGAAGAAGCATTTCGCATGCCACGCACGGCAGGCGTGTCAAGGAGAAGCACCCAACAATGTAAGCGCCTATTACGAAGAATTATAAAACTGTGGGATATGAACCCACAATCTCCGGAACAAAAGTCGCCAGTGTTTTCATGTCATTGACCTAGGCTAAGGCGCCCGATCAGTCACGCGCTCCTGAACAAGCGGGGTAGCACGTGCACGGGACTGGAGCCACTTCCCGCCCTGCCTGCTGGGCGGTTCCAACATAATTAGCAGGAGCTCAGTGCGGTTCCGTGCAGACTTATTGGCTCACCGGGGGAAGCCATTGTTGGCGGGTGGCGACGGAAGCGCCACGACGTCGTTGGGCGTCGGGACGGCAGAGCATCGCCATATCATCTAACTGCTACTCTATGGAATCTTGTTACAGGTATGTTGCTATTTGGAAGAGACTGCATCACCGTTACAAGGGTTCTAGACCCCGTTTTGGAAAAAGTGGTGAGGCTGTTTCATAAATTTGAGGTTGGTATGAGCTGGGTTCGAGCCGATGGAACAAGCTGCCATGTTTCTCTTGGGTCGATAAATTTAAACGGAGCGAGTACTCAGTAATAACTGTTGCCTCCCGGAAACTGAAGAAGGCCAACTTTGAATTTTATTCTTACACTTGATCACACACGTCCACAGAGTCATCGTAACGTTTTGAAATTCAGACAGACAGCAGCAGTTGTCAGTGCAGCTGCCACAAGGCATCAGTACGGGGCCCCACATGAATATACGATGTGATTTAAATGCGGTAAAATTTAAGAATTTATTACCTACCTCACAGAGAACACACCACACCTGCATTATAAACCATCCGGTTAATGCTCTTTAAGTAAACAATATCTATTATAGAAGGATTTGACTATACCGTCCAGTGTGACTCAAATATGTACATGTTTCGGTCAATTAATGTCCATCTTCAGAAGACAAATAGCAACAAGGTGACAAGGAAACTACTATTACGTAAGTCATAGTACATCAAGTCAAAGTTGTCCAAAGTTTTATATCTAGTTTTTAATTAAGATCAAATGTGCTGAGTTAAAATATTAATAATATTCTTAATATTTAGAATCTTAAACCACTAAGGTTCGTGTCTTCGTGCCTCCTCTATCAATGGGAGAGTGGGTAAATTGTCACCCTTGGAGGTCCCGGACAGTGTTGTTTGGTTAAGTGTCTGTGTTTGTTGTTGAGCTGTTAGNCCCCCCCCCCCGAAACACTCATGGCTTGTGAACACTGAATGAAAGTAACCTGTTTTAACCTGATGCTGTATGAGGCACCCGGGGGGGATACATTCAGACTACGAGACTCAGAGCATTGGAAATTTTCGAAATATGTTTGTTTTACACGTGTTCATCTGGGCAGGCTGCAATTGAATAAAGGGAGGTATCCTGCCGCTAGTTCCAAAGTTTTGTCACTCACTGCTAAGAGTTTGCAGGGTATGAAATTAAGGTATTGCTGATTGTCATGTTTGCAATGTTGCATACAAATACGTCATACTCTGTCAACAGCAAGTGAACACTCTGTTCAACGTTCCGTATTGTTTCCAGTCGCGTTCTTCGTGGGCCCTCTCTATCTCTGAACATTCCAGGGCCTAGCGTTGAATGATGAAGTGGTTCTGGCCTAATTGTGCCTCCAGGGACTGAGGAATTGCAGAATACCCGATGTTCCAGCCGAGATTCGAAACGAACACCTTCCGATTACTAGTCAAGAGTTACCGCTATGATAAGTTAGTGTTATGTGTGCCCAGAGCGGTTTACCATGGAAAGAGGATTATATTGATTTATGAAGATTGTGGTAGGCGTGTGTCTTAGAAGATGCTGATCTTAACTATAGAGAGTAGTTCAGCGGAGTCTGAAAGCATCGGACTAGCCATAATGAATTGTTGGCAGCATATGAACCGGTAGGTCCACATGAGACGTCTCCTGCCGAAACGTCCGTAAATGTAATGCGATATTGGAGTAGTACGTTAGAGCGAACTGCAGGGTGTTCCGCCAGTTCTTGGTTTCGGGAGCCCTCTGCGCAGCTTGGTGGGATGTGAAGGCGTATAGTTGGGTACGTACGTACTAAGGTTACAGATAAACCAGCTGTCTACATTTTCATATCGTAACATTTCTACACTGAAAACGGAGGCAATATATTAGTCCGAAACTTTGGCACCTGTTTGCCAGCTTGCACGGTGTCATATTCTCAAAGACCGCAATGTTCATTGGCGTAGTCATCTTGTTCGTGGCCTCAAATGTCGCAAAAAGAGGACAGGTTGATTGTTGCGTGTTATTGGTTTCCTTTGCACTTGCTCGTGGTTTCCTCACTATGGGCTTACATTCTATAGTTGATGACCACTAAATTGCTGGTAAGGTAAAGGTAAAGTTGTCCCTGTGCTCAACTAATTAAGCACTACGTCACGAAGGCGTATTGGGGAGTGGATGTATACATCCATATTTCCTTGAACTCTACAGTAGCTGGGAGTGAGTGGTCAGATTGACGCCCCGGCAGCTTTACCCTCGGGGGAAGAGCACCTGGTACGCATTGGATAGGAGGCTGGTTGGGCCCCAGAGCCGGTCTAGACGACGTGGAGAAGAGAAAATTCTTGACCCTACCGGGACTCGAACAGCTTGCCCATTGAGAAGAATTTCGAAATAATTCCATGGACATATCGTTGTAGGATGGAGGTGCATCTGTGATGACGTTAGATCAAGGCTACCAACTTTATAAACACACAATCATCGTGCCAAGCTTAGTTTCAGAGTCACGTGAGCCTTGCCACGAGAGTACCAAACCAAACCGCACACAAAGATGAAGTGGCCAGGATTCAACCTACAGAAATTGACGATGAAATCACCTCATACCCAGACAACGACATGTGAATGGTACGAGGGGCGGGGGGGGATTTATAAGACGGAAAGTAGGCGCTGTAACTGGAACTTTTGTGATTATAATCTGAGTTACTCACGTCATCTCCGTTGCTTGGTTGTGACGCCTGTATTGTCATGTATATCGCTGCTGATAGGCGCCCGCCCGCCGCGGCCTCCCGTCAGAGGTGCCCAAATTCTTAGAGCTGCAGCCTAGCAATCTGTTTCTGGGATGTTGCCCCATTCTGGAAGATGGTTAAGGACCTTTAGGAGGAACAGGCAACTTCCATACGATCCCAGTTGGTAGAAATCTTCATCGTAACCGCCGTGAGAGCCTCAGATCTCCCATGAGGTTCCACGCGTTGGCATAATCCAAGGTCATTTACGGATACTTCAGCAGGTCAAGGCCGGGCGGGTTCATGTCGCCGCGACGCCGTTCGCAACGTGTTTGGGGGGGCTCTCGGTTCGAATTTGGGCGAGGATTTTCTTAGTCTTCCGTAGTCTCTCCAGGCAAGCGCTGGAATATACCTGAATTAGGCCACGACCACTTCCTTCCCAATTCACCTATCATCCTACCACCCGACGCTACTGACTAACTAACTAACTAACTAACTAACTGACTGAGCCCTTCTTGAGAAGCTGCCAGTTGTGCAGCTACTGAAAATCTTCCCGGCACTTTATGGAACCCGAAGGCTCATTACTGTGTTCACAAGAGCCCTCCACTGGTCGTCCCTATCCTGAGCGAGTTCTATCCAGTCCATGACACCCAATCGTAATATCCATTTTAACATTACCCACCCACCTACATCTTGGTCTTCCTACTGATTTCTTTCCTTCTGGCTTTTCCACCGGTATCCTATATGCATTCCATTCCTCCCCATTCATGCTATATCTGACAGCTTTTCAAAATAACGTATAGAATTGCTTTTAGTAGGCGTAATGGGAGCTGTTATTCCGGGGACAAAGCGGCCAGAGCGTGCAGCTTACTACTAACCACAATCTGGTGCGTGTTGTCACAGCCCTACGGTAGAGTTACAGGGTGCAGTTAACAATCGTTTTCTTTTTTTAATTAGAACTTATATAAATATTCTTTAATTGCTTATTTCGAGTCGTTTTACATTTATAAATCTGGCCAGTACGCGGTGTGATGTTGATGAGCAAAGCAACCATATCCCGGGCGAAAAGCCCGTCTCCTTAACATTAAATGTCAGTTGTTCGTACCTCACAGTAAACACACTCTGTATGGAGCCTGTTATTGCGACTGCGCCGGTCTCTCAGCATTGCAGAAGAACATGCGTAGGTTGCGAGTGCTTGAGAAGATGGCACGCGGTGGAGGGGGTTGCAGCAAGCAGTTTCATAGTTTCTACTTCTTGCCAAATTGTAGGAAGGTAATCTGACGAAGGGGGATGGGCGGGGAATGTAGCACACATAAGAGAGAAGCGTGTTGCATATAAACTTCTGGCAGGAAGACCTGAAGGAAAGAGTTCACTAGAAAGACGTAGGCGTAGATGAGAGGATAATATTACAAATAACTTTAGGAACTATGATAGACTGGATTCATTTGGCTTAGGATAGTGACCAATGACGGGGTCTTCTTAACACGAATATGATTCACCCAATTCCATAAAGTGGCAGGAATTTATTGAGTCGCCAAGGAAGTGTTGGTTCCTGAAGAAGGGCTCCGCTCATAGGACTTAAATTGTAATCAGAATTTTCCAAGGTGCTCAGGGCCCGAAACGCTCGTGGTCTACCAGCCAACACTGCGCTGTGTTTACCCCTTGCAGCAGGTTTCTGAAGCTGCTTTGGTTTTGCTTCTTTGTTTTTCTTTCGCTCCACAGACAATCTGGATCAATCTGGAAAGGAGGGATTTATATCTGAAATAGTCTGTCTCCGTTCTTCTTTCCTCCTGATGTAACTCGGCAGGATCCCTGGGGAACTCTTGCAGAACTGGGAGAGATGTCGGCAAGATTGCGCATTGATCGACTTGTCTGTATTGCAGACAGACGGGCTACAGTTTCGGCTGGCTTTCGGTTGAATAGGCCAGTCTTCCGTTTGGTGTACACGCCGTGATGCAATTCTGACATGTCAGCAAAATGAGGTTCCACTTATATGGCTTAATAACCAGTGAAATACGCCTTCATAATTCACATCCGAGTCCCTCTGTTTCTTATTTTAAGCTTTCGAACTATTCACTTCAGCTGTTTTTCTCCCGTGTTCCTTTCCAGTGCTACATGTTATCGAACGATACATCGAGGCCGACGTTTAAAGCCGTCTCCAGCGAATAACACGCACAAATAATCAATTTTAAACACTCTCCTTAATACCCTATACAGTAGTTCGTACTTCAACATCAAAACAGTATCAGTATTCGCAGAATAGACACGATACTGTAAAATGTGAAAACTTTCTTCAGGTCTACATAACTTAAATTTATATAGTGTGTTGACGCTTGACAGTTCGTTGCTCTGATAGCCCGAAATTGCGAGAAGGCAGTCACTGTACGTGTATACAGCGTGAAGAAGGTTAAGAGTAAACTTGA